CCAAACGCGACATAATACATAGATAGATATAGATAGATTGGCTAAAAGGTAAAACTCAAGTCGACCTAGCCTTCGGCTAGTCCGACTAACAAGCTTCATGTCACACGACGGTTTAACTAAATACATGCACTAGAAATTACTTGAAAAGCAGAAATATATCGTAAAACAAACGAAAGGGGTCAACAAAAATGACTACTTGTCAGGCCAGGGTTTCCAGAGGCTTGTCTTTTATTCTTTTGCTTACTCAGCTTATGTAAYATTGAGCCGCGAAGCGCCAAGATGTTTCCAAACGGGTGGCAACAAAACCTGGGCCCGGGTCCATGGCCTAGGCCATGGCCTACCTATGGGCCACCCTTAATGGCCTACACTATGGCCTACCCATTTTTTCTGTTATTTTGAAATATCTAATGTTTCCAATATAAAAATAGCCATGACACAATCTCTGATCGATCACAATGAGTGTTGGTGGCCATATTTCAAGTTGAGAGGGAACTATTCGATTTCTTTGATATATTTAAGATTTTTACAATATTATAGTTAACAATGAAACAGTGTATATGACAATCACATTTTTATTCAAAAACCATTTTTCAAAATATTTTTCAAATGTGATCAACAATTATATGTGTAGAATTTACCTTATAGAATGGACCTTCTGTTATTATACCATTCATAACCTGTTGGTACGACAGTCTGTTGGTACTTATAGAGTTGAAAGTGGAACACATAGAAGTATGAACTGGAACGAGTGAAATCTTCAAAATACATGTACATGCAAAAAATTGAAAATGTATATATAATATATACTCTACAGTAGCTTGCACATCAAAAGCCGCCTCTGTAAAATGTTCTACAGTCAACTCTCCTGTAAGCGACCACCTTGGGATCACGAAAAAGTGGCCGGTTACGAGATATGGTCGCTTATGAGAACGTTAGCACAGGAAACCCAAACAATGATAATCACAACACAGGAGGCCCAAATAGTTCAAAACACGTTGTTCGTATTTCAGTGAATAAAATGTTTGAAAATTTGATTTGTTTTTAAAAGACAATTGTAGTTTGGGCTTCCTGTGCTAAATGTCAATCTCGTTCCCAGGGCTACTCTGCTCGCTTTTTTCAAAATGGCGGACAGAGATAGCCCTGGCATTGGCCGGTCACGTGACACCTACTCTCAGTGGGTGTTTAGTGTGGGTTACCGCTGAATGCAGGCGCTATTGGTTTTGGAAAATGACTAATGTTCGGAGCAACATTTAACTTTTTTCAACTTTTCAAAACATTCTGATCTTATGGTATACCTGTGTCTATATACTTATACATATATTTAGAGAACGAGAAATTCTTATATGTAGTGGCTACGCGTGTCAACGCGTGCTACGCGTCAAAAATGGTGTATCGGTATACCTGTGTCTATATACTTATGCATGGTAGATTGTTCGCGTTGACGCGTTAACGCGTAGCCAAAAACCAAAAAAATGTCTATTAGTAAGGCTGCTACGCGTCAACGCGTAGCCAGCTACGCGTCAGTTGTCCGAGGTGCGGGGTATTCTATAGTTGTACCCTTTCTGAGGTACTCGGATTATAAGCAGGCAAAGTAGAGTTGTTAGAGGTTTTCTAAGAGACTTTCATAGTTTACTTTCTTTAACACTCAACCGCCGTTTGAAAATTATCAATTTCTGAACTACCAGGGTATACTAAACAGAATTTGCTTGATACAAATTTTTCTACCTTCCCCCGCTTGGTAAATTTTAGTGAGGCGTAGAAAACATGCGAGAACTGTCATCTAGTAATTGTTCAAATTCGGCAGGCAACTCCTCCTGCTTTTCCTTCCTTCCTAGCCCTCTCCCCCTCCGGCAGTTTTTTTGCCTTAACATAGCAATCCCACGGAGAAGAGTTGCCTGCGAAGGAGGCTACGTAAGAATAATCTCTAGTAGCATTTGACTTGCCGTTCCAGGTTGGATTATCCCACGTTCAGTCTTTGAAAACATAGATTTGTAATGAAATACATCACGTGACCAGTGTTTCATACCTTGTCACAGACTTGTTTGAATCCCGCGAGGCACGGGATCGTGACGTAATACCACAGGTAATCCGCATTTCACTAAGAGCGCGCGCCGATACTAGTATAAAAGCGCATTCATTCTTTTCTTTCTCTCAAGCAATGGTTGGGTAGCCTATGATCGAACTTACGGTTCGGCAAACTATGGTACATACAAATCAATCCAATCAGGCAGAAAAAATGCCAACAAATCAGAATCCAAGAATACGATACAGCTACGATACAGTTACGGTACGGACGCGATTCGTCATTGCCGTTTCCCAGTCATACGAAATCGCCTCTAAATAACACAAATGTGTGAAAACATGTGTGGTTATGCGATAAAAGTATATTTTTGATCAAACAGGCGAGCGCGCGCTGGCGACTTGAAAACCGATTTGAAAACAATGCGTCATTTTCAACCAATCACGAATCGAGAAAAAAATTGTTTCCTCCAGAGTCTCTAACGCATTGACATTCGCTGGATGGCAAAAGTGTGGGCTCTGGGTACGAGATTGCCCCAACTTGGGCAAGGGTAAATTTCGATTTTTTATACCCTACCTCAGAATAAACCTAAGAATTGTGCACCCATTTCGTTAACTTTTAAATGGAATTTACATTGTTTCTGTGTTAACCAAAAGCATAGCTTATTGTACTTCTCTATAAATATACAGAATTATAAAACAAAAAAAATACTGTTTWATCATTTGTGAGATCCTTGGACCAAGACAGGTAATTTGTTGAACAGCAGCCAAASAAAATAATGAGTCTGCTATTAAATTAGTAGTTAGTGTTATTGCTCAAGTATCTCACAATATCTCACAAAACAGTGGTTCTGAATGGCTGTMARGGKWAARSYTWAMCYKRAAWWWTTYYTWMMAA